TCTCTCCTGCCTGGATTACCCTTATTGTTCTCACCTGTCCCTCATTACTCTGCCCATGTGTTCCTGATTCCCTTGTGTATATATACCTTCCTCTTTGCTCCTGTCAGTGGTCGGATCATTGTCGTTTTGTGCATGTTCGTTTGTCCTGTCGCTCCCAGTCTACAATTAAACTATTTTTACTTTATCCGTGCCTGCTCATCTGCCTCTGGAACCCTCCACCACACTTGGTCCACCATCTCCACCCCCAGAACATGACAGAATGATCCGACCATAACCTGGACCTGTGGTGAGCTTTGTTTCATCTCCCTGGAGGATAAATTTTTTTACTTTTTTTCCTTTGGCGGAGGGAGATTCCGGACTCAGTGTGTTTGGCGCATCCTACCTGTTCTCCGGGGTGGTCGAACCATTGAGGGGGTTCGGCGCATCCTACTCGTTCCCGGGGTGGTCGAATTCCTCCTCCTCTCCTGCTTTCTGCCCCCGTCCCGTTCTTCTCATGGAAGCTGCGGATCCTGGAGCTTCAAGGGAGTTACACCCTCTGCGCACGCCATTGTTCTCCAGGGTGGTAGGGCTGATCTCCCCGCTCTTCTCCTGCTTCCCTTCACCCGAGCCTCCGCCGATGGACCCAGCGAATCGGGATGTGCACCTGCTCTGACCGCATGTCGAGTACCTGCCGCCGAGCTGGGCTTCCTCCCGTCGCTCCCGCTGTTCAACCATTTCCTGGTCCACGCCTGCAGGGTCTGTGCCTGCAGGTCCTTCATGCAGCAGTCCTCTGCTGGGTCCCACACCTGCTGCTGCAGTTTTCTGCTGGGTCCCACCCCGGCTGCTGCAGTTTTCCTGTTCCTGTGTGTCCCGAGTCAAGAGTTCGAGTGTGTCAAGAGTTCGAGTGTGTCCCGAGTCAAGAGTTCGAGTGTGTCCCGAGTCAAGAGTTCGAGTGTGTCAAGAGTTCGAGTGTGTCCCGAGTCAAGAGTTCGAGTGTGTCCCGAGTCAAGAGTTCGAGTGTATCCCGAGTCAAGAGTTCGAGTGTGTCCCGAGTCAAGAGTTTGAGTGTGTCCCGAGTCAAGAGTTCGAGTGTCCCCGAGTCAAGTCTTCATGTTCCTGTCCCAAGTCAAGTCAAGTGTTCCTGCGTCAAGTCAAGTGTTCCTGCATCAAGTCAAGTATTCCTGCATGTTCCTGCGTCAAGTCAAGTGTCCCTGCGCCTGTCGAGTCCTCGAGTCCCGAGTCCCAGTCCGAGTCAAGTCCAAGTGTTCCCGGTCTCCTGTGTTGTGTGGGCTTGTGGGCGCCTGGTATCCACCCTTGGGGGGGGGGGGGGGGGGGGGGGGGGGGTACTGTCATGATCCATCCCGGCCTCACTGACTGGTTCTCTCCTGCCTGGATTACCCTTATTGTTCTCACCTGTCCCTCATTACTCTGCCCATGTGTTCCTGATTCCCTTGTGTATATATACCTTCCTCTTTGCTCCTGTCAGTGGTCGGATCATTGTCGTTTTGTGCATGTTCGTTTGTCCTGTCGCTCCCAGTCTACAATTAAACTATTTTTACTTTATCCGTGCCTGCTCATCTGCCTCTGGAACCCTCCACCACACTTGGTCCACCATCTCCACCCCCAGAACATGACAGAATGATCCGACCATAACCTGGACCTGTGGTGAGCTTTGTTTCATCTCCCTGGAGGATAAATTTTTTTACTTTTTTTCCTTTGGCGGAGGGAGATTCCGGACTCAGTGTGTTTGGCGCATCCTACCTGTTCTCCGGGGTGGTCGAACCATTGAGGGGGTTCGGCGCATCCTACTCGTTCCCGGGGTGGTCGAATTCCTCCTCCTCTCCTGCTTTCTGCCCCCGTCCCGTTCTTCTCATGGAAGCCGCGGATCCTGGAGCTTCAAGGGAGTTACACCCTCTGCGCACGCCATTGTTCTCCAGGGTGGTAGGGCTGATCTCCCCGCTCTTCTCCTGCTTCCCTTCACCCGAGCCTCCGCCGATGGACCCAGCGAATCGGGATGTGCACCTGCTCTGACCGCATGTCGAGTACCTGCCGCCGATCTGGGCTTCCTCGCGTCGCTCCCGCTGTTCAACCATTTCCTGGTCCACGCCTGCAGGGTCTGTGCCTGCAGGTCCTTCATGCAGCAGTCCTCTGCTGGGTCCCACACCTGCTGCTGCAGTTTTCTGCTGGGTCCCACCCTGGCTGCTGCAGTTTTCCTGTTCCTGTGTGTCCCGAGTCAAGAGTTCGAGTGTGTCAAGAGTTCGAGTGTGTCCCGAGTCAAGAGTTCGAGTGTGTCCCGAGTCAAGAGTTCGAGTGTGTCAAGAGTTCGAGTGTGTCCCGAGTCAAGAGTTCGAGTGTGTCCCGATTCAAGAGTTCGAGTGTATCCCGAGTCAAGAGTTCGAGTGTGTCCCGAGTCAAGAGTTTGAGTGTGTCCCGAGTCAAGAGTTCGAGTGTCCCCGAGTCAAGTCTTCATGTTCCTGTCCCAAGTCAAGTCAAGTGTTCCTGCGTCAAGTCAAGTGTTCCTGCATCAAGTCAAGTGTTCCTGCGTCAAGTCAAGTGTTCCTGCGTCAAGTCAAGTGTTCCTGCGTCAAGTCAAGTGTTCCTGCGTCAAGTCAAGTCAAGGGTTCCTGCGTCAAGTGTTCCTGCGTCAAATGTTCCTGCGTCAAGTCAAGTGTCCCTGCGCCTGTCGAGTCCTCGAGTCCCGAGTCCCAGTCCGAGTCAAGTCCAAGTGTTCCCGGTCTCCTGTGTTGTGTGGGCTTGTGGGCGCCTGGTATCCACCCTTGGGGGGGGGGGGGGGGTACTGTCATGATCCATCCCGGCCTCACTGACTGGTTCTCTCCTGCCTGGATTACCCTTATTGTTCTCACCTGTCCCTCATTACTCTGCCCATGTGTTCCTGATTCCCTTGTGTATATATACCTTCCTCTTTGCTCCTGTCAGTGGTCGGATCATTGTCGTTTTGTGCATGTTCGTTTGTCCTGTCGCTCCCAGTCTACAATTAAACTATTTTTACTTTATCCGTGCCTGCTCATCTGCCTCTGGAACCCTCCACCACACTTGGTCCACCATCTCCACCCCCAGAACATGACAGAATGATCCGACCATAACCTGGACCTGTGGTGAGCTTTGTTTCATCTCCCTGGAGGATAAATTTTTTTACTTTTTTTCCTTTGGCGGAGGGAGATTCCGGACTCAGTGTGTTTGGCGCATCCTACCTGTTCTCCGGGGTGGTCGAACCATTGAGGGGGTTCGGCGCATCCTACTCGTTCCCGGGGTGGTCGAATTCCTCCTCCTCTCCTGCTTTCTGCCCCCGTCCCGTTCTTCTCATGGAAGCCGCGGATCCTGGAGCTTCAAGGGAGTTACACCCTCTGCGCACGCCATTGTTCTCCAGGGTGGTAGGGCTGATCTCCCCGCTCTTCTCCTGCTTCCCTTCACCCGAGCCTCCGCCGATGGACCCAGCGAATCGGGATGTGCACCTGCTCTGACCGCATGTCGAGTACCTGCCGCCGAGCTGGGCTTCCTCGCGTCGCTCCCGCTGTTCAACCATTTCCTGGTCCACGCCTGCAGGGTCTGTGCCTGCAGGTCCTTCATGCAGCAGTCCTCTGCTGGGTCCCACACCTGCTGCTGCAGTTTTCTGCTGGGTCCCACCCTGGCTGCTGCAGTTTTCCTGTTCCTGTGTGTCCCGAGTCAAGAGTTCGAGTGTGTCAAGAGTTCGAGTGTGTCCCGAGTCAAGAGTTCGAGTGTGTCCCGAGTCAAGAGTTCGAGTGTGTCAAGAGTTCGAGTGTGTCCCGAGTCAAGAGTTCGAGTGTGTCCCGATTCAAGAGTTCGAGTGTATCCCGAGTCAAGAGTTCGAGTGTGTCCCGAGTCAAGAGTTTGAGTGTGTCCCGAGTCAAGAGTTCGAGTGTCCCCGAGTCAAGTCTTCATGTTCCTGTCCCAAGTCAAGTCAAGTGTTCCTGCGTCAAGTCAAGTGTTCCTGCATCAAGTCAAGTGTTCCTGCGTCAAGTCAAGTGTTCCTGCGTCAAGTCAAGTGTTCCTGCGTCAAGTCAAGTGTTCCTGCGTCAAGTCAAGTCAAGGGTTCCTGCGTCAAGTGTTCCTGCGTCAAATGTTCCTGCGTCAAGTCAAGTGTCCCTGCGCCTGTCGAGTCCTCGAGTCCCGAGTCCCAGTCCGAGTCAAGTCCAAGTGTTCCCGGTCTCCTGTGTTGTGTGGGCTTGTGGGCGCCTGGTATCCACCCTTGGGGGGGGGGGGGGGGGGGTACTGTCATGATCCATCCCGGCCTCACTGACTGTGTCTCTCCTGCCTGGATTACCCTTATTGTTCTCACCTGTCCCTCATTACTCTGCCCATGTGTTCCTGATTCCCTTGTGTATATACACCTCCCTCTTTGCTCCTGTCAGTTGTCAGATCATTGTTGTTTTGTGCATGTTCGTTTGTCCTGTCGCTCCCAGTCTACAATTAAACTAATTTTACTTTATCCGTGCCTGCTCATCTGCCTCTGGAACCCTCCACCACACTTGGTCCACCATCTCCACCCCCAGAACATGACAGGAGCCTTTTAACAATGTTTTAATTGTCTGAGATTTTAATAAGCTGTAAGCTAAGATCATCACAATTGTAACAAATAAAGGCTTAAAATAACTTGCTTTTAATGTAATTAGAGCAGTTTTACATGCATTGTTTTCCTTTTCTATTTCACTGATGGGTTGATAGATTCTGTAGAATCCATCTCAGTTGTTGGTGGAACAGGAGGACAATGTTTATGTTTATGTTTATTGTTTTGGCAGACGCTTTTATCCAAAGCGACTTACAATTTATAACCTATAGGGCATGTTGTGATCTGTGGGGGACACCGGAGTACCTGGAGGAAACCCACGCATGCATGGGGAGAACACGCAGCTCGACACAGAAAGGCCGCAGCCGAGTTTCGAACCTGCAACCTTCGTGCTACGAGGCAACAGTGCTAACAACTGCGCCACCATGCAGATAATGATTGACTCTATTCTCTCTCTCTCATGCATGGACAACAGGAAGTGTAAGCCGACCAGGATCACTCCCTGCCTTCCTCAGGAACCCACCTGTCATCCCACAACCTCTAGACATGAAACCTTTCCTCCAGTTCCCGTTGGAATCCCCTCACCCGGCCGGCATCAGCCTCTTCCACAACTTTAACGCGGTGAGTTCTCTTATGTCCACCTGAACAGGTGAGCACATATTTTTTTACATGTTGCAGAATTATTTTTATACAGTAGATTGATGTTCTGGGCAAATTTCACTGTTTTCACAAATTTTACTATAACTCATCCAGAATGATTTGACAGCACAGTGAATTTCAGTGTAGTTGAGAGAAAGTTCAGCCATTTGGTTTATTGCAATACAATAAGTTACAGTTAATCACTTCAATAAGAGGCACAGGCTCAGTTTTCTATGATCAGCATTTTCTGTGCCTCTTTTAAAAAATATTTCTAGACTTGGTTTCGTGTGAAGGTCACAAACAGAAACCACTATGTTGCCAGTCAGCTCATCAGATGTAGATTTCTTTATCGGCATTCACTGAACAGCAAGTGTACAGGAGCTAAATCTGTTGCAGCACCTCAACGCAGCACAGAGAAACCAGTACAAAACAAAAGGAAAACAATTTGTGATAAAATATTATGTAGTTCTAATGATAAGATCTTATAATTTCCAAAATAGCAAAACACTGCATGGAATATTCAAAAATTAGGACCCCTAAACTTTCAACAAGTGGAATCCAGCATTCTGAAAGCATATGGCAAAGAGCTGTGAAAAAAGCCTAAAGTGGTCGTGCATCGGATGCTGCAGAACACTCTCTGGTCAGTATGCTCTACATGATGCTTATATAGAATAAAGTGAGGGTGGGTGAGGTCAAGTGGGCTCTTTCATCCTTTGCAGGAAATGCAGTCGCTGTTGTGCTTTCCCGACCAAAGAGGCTCACGGACCAAGTGAGGTCAGCTGTAATGTGTAGTCCCTAACATTTAGTGCTGCTGACCATCATCAACATGCCTTCAGTCAACAGGACCTCTCAGGGGAAAAAAAGGACACCTCAGAAATTTCTTGATTTATCCTTCATTGCAGAGGGCATTTGGTGTGAAACCAGACTACCTAAACCCTTCTCCTGCTCCAGAAATATTTACAAAAGTGTACATTTGTGATGTCAGCGGTTAATAGATGGCTTCATGTGAGTCAATATTAAAGAAAAAGAACCAGTCTTTTAAGGCATCCTATTAAACCCTATAGGCAAGGCCCCACCCACTTACTGACTTAGTCTTTCCCTATTGGGTTAGTTTGTTTATGTGACATACCACATTTTACTAGTCTCAATCCACGTGGAAAAATGTGAATACTCTGCGCCCAGTGCTAATGTTGACAAGAAATAAAAGATTTAGTTCCATTGTTTATAATTTCAGTCACAATTTTGTCATCAAATTTGTTTTAATTTTAGTCTTATTTTAGTCTACTACAATATATGCATTTTTCTTTTGGTGCATAAATTTCAACTTCTGTAAATGTTAACTACACCTACTTGAAACTAAAGAAATATGAAAAATTCACATTTCACCCTTTTGAACTCTAAATTTAATATTATTGGAAATACAAAATGAACACTGAGTTTGAAATTGTGCCTCTCAGTATTTATAAAATAAAAAAATCTGTATAATGTGCTGTAATATTTGTAAACATGACAGGAAATGACATCATAAATCAAAAATGTTAAATGTATTACTCAACAATGCAGAAATAACTAAAGGTAAGAATTGTTTTCAGGTGTATTTATTAGAGTTTTTATTAGACTGATGGATCAAAGTAGGACACCTGAAAGTTTCTCCTCACTAAAGCGTCGCTAGAACATCCAACGCTGATCTTATATATATATATATGTAGATATCCCTTTGATGCATAATGGTCACTACAGTGGACAGGTACTCAAAATTGTTATTTCTTTATTTTTGCTATTAAGCACAGCTGTTGACGACTTTATTGCATGTGAGCGCCTCCATTTGGACTTCAGTAAGTCAAGCCAACATATTTCATGTTCAGAATGCACGTTGTCCACTGAGATGGACATGTAATAAAGTATTTGTAAATTAACAAAATGTTACAAAAAATATTTGTTGAAATTTGTTTCATTCACACCTAAAGATGAATGAAAAAAATTGTTTAAAAAAATCATGGTTGAAGATTTCATAATTCATGCATCAGAGGGTTAAACGTATGTATGTATAACGATACTCAGCAAGCCAGTACTTTTCAGATTGTCACATCTACTGATTTACCTTCCAGCGACGAACATCTTCTCCCTTTAGACAGAACTTTAACCGGCACATCCAGTTTTTTGGCCTGAGCGGTTACCTGGCTTACCAGAAAATTAACTAGCTGTCGAGGAATATTGGCTCAATCCTGGAGCTCAGGGATGGATTACACTGCAATGTAAGCGCACAAACTCATATAATTGTCTAGATGAGCTTGGAACTTTGAGATTCAGACTCTGGCACAGAAGGTGGATTCGATCAAGGAGCGAGTTGACGGGACCACATGGATTGGGATAGATTAATTACGCCATTATTGGATTTAGAGGAGTTGAGGACCAACGGAACTTTATGACAGAGAGGAAATTATCTCTGTCTGTCCCCAAAACAAGTTCTTATCTGAACCTGGTGCCCTTGAGCCTTTGAGGCTGAAATGAATACTTCCCCTCAGAAGAAATGTGGAATGCTGCCTTCGCCATGGCAACTCTGTCTCCCTATCCCATCCTGGGGGGGACTGCAACCGGTGAAGGCCGTTGAATCGTTCCAGGAGTCACTGTGCTCTCTAAACCCAACGACCCCCCCACCCCCCTTCCCCGTCCAAACGGAGGTGGCGAGCGCTGCTTATTGCGGCTGCATGCACTGATGTGAGGAGAGTCCCAACCCTACCTCCCCACTTATGTTGTGTAATGTCTGAAGTCTGTTGCATTTCTGTCTGAGGTGTTTTTGCCCTCCCTGTGGAGGGTAATTCTGCAGTGCCTTTTTGTCCTCCACCTGACTCAATCCTCATATAAACCTTCTGATCTCTATTAAGGTAGCGTGACTCGGGTCGCGTTGCGAATGACCACCAATTCTTGTCATGTGTCTATGCCTATGTATGTATGTCTGATCTCAGAATTGTGTGTACTGAAACTCTAATTTCCCTCTGGAATTAATAAAGTATCTTTGAATTGAATTGAATTGAATTGAATTGAATTGAACTGAATTGAACTGAATAAACATATGATGTCTGATTAGCAGTAGCTTGTTCAAACAGCGACCGGCTCCGGACTCAGATGGGTTCTTTTCTTGTCTAGTCCTGCCTATTCCTTTTGCTGATTGTCTATTCTTTCATGTCTCCCATCTTTTCCATTTTCTGATTGGATTTTCATTTCTGTCAGTTTTTGTTGTCGTCTATTATTTGTCAATGAAAATGTTGGTCAAAATTTGTCGTAATTTTGTCTTCATTGGTGTGTATGTTTTTGTTTTGTTTTAGGCCGTGAAGGTTCATTCATCATGAAACAAAAAATAAATTAATTAAAATATTTAGTCAACAAAATTAACACTTCTGAGACCCAAGTGACCCAGGTCAACAGTCTGAGATTACACTAATTATCCAACAATTAGGATTATTTATATTTATTTACAGACGTATATTTCTGTTAGGGGACAAAATGTGTTAATGTGATTAGTTGTGTACATATTTCTCTTTGTCATTGTCATTTTGTATAGATATGTATACCACTTTTCAGAGCACAGATGGGTTTCTGAGATATGAATGATTAATAAAGCTTTGTCATAGAGGAAGAATTGGTTTAGAGAGCAGGTTCACTGAAAAAACATTATAATCGTCTACCCCTATTTCCCCACTGAAAGAAAATAGACAGGGAAATGCTAGGGTCAGAAAAAGACACACAGATCTACATCACACTGAAAATTTGTATTCAGAGACTTTTTGAAACAGCCTGTTTTAGGCACTTTAAACCAAGCACTGACAGAAATTAGAAAGATGTGTTTTTTCCCCCGTTTGGAGAGTCTGACAGTAGAGACCCACACAGCAGCTCAAAATGATACAAAAGATGAGTTTTGCATAATATGTCTCCTTTAAGACATTTGTTAGGAAAACTAAAATAAACATGCACTAGCCGTCTCCAAACTATGATCCTCAATAAAAATCAGAATAGAGAAGATCAAGCAATGGTCAAGAGATGTTTTAAATCACTGTACGACACGGCTTTATTGTGGCTCTGTGGCAGTGGAAAAATAAATGACTTCTTTGCTGGTGTTTTTTTTTTTTTTTATAAAACCAGTTAGGAACCAGCTCCAACATCAGTGCAGATCACTTTTGGAGGAAAATCCCTGAAAGAAGTTTGGATTGTTTGTTTTTTATCCTTGTACTTTTGTATACACCAGCAACAGCTGCACAACAGTGTCATCCTTCTGTGGTGGAGAGTGACCACCAGCTGTAGCAATAATAAACACGCTTACACAGTCCAAGAAGTATGAGGGGATTGTCACTTCGCTTCAAAGCAAAGAACTGTTCAGGGATTAGGTTTGTGCAGAAACTGGTAATGGTTTATCATTTGGGGTTTGTGCAGCACTGTATTCTCCACCCAACAAGCATTTTTCTAGAGGAAAAAGATCAGAACAGACAGATATGTCGAAAGAATGCAGACTAGGTAGATACATGGTGCCAATGCAAACAAAAGATCTAGTGTGCGAGGTAGCAGGGAGTGAAAGAGGAGACAGAAAGTAGAGTAATAAGCTAATGAGGTTGTAACAGTAGGGATAGATGCATCCTGATGAGAGCAGGTGGTCAGAGAAATGCTGCAAAGAGATACAGAGAAGCAAGATGGGAGGAATTACCACGCAGGGCTGCGGGAGCGATTAGGAAACAGAAGAAAATGTAGCTTTATGCTCGCATATTATGGTTCAATTTTCCTTACTTCAGAACTGTTTCAGACTTTTTACATTAGCACCAATTACAGCTGACCGGTGAGCTACGTGCTGTGGAGTAACCAGTGTTATTTAGCAACTTATTAAACATTAGGATTTCCTGAAGGAACCACTCAGCCCTGTTTTTGTATCAGGTCAAAAAGCCCACAGAATTCCAAAAGAGTTGTTTTAAATCAAGAGTCACACCAGAAAGATATCCATCTGGTCTGCAAAGAGCCAAACACAAGGAGACAAGCAGATAATGAAATGATAAAAGGAGCTGGGGAAATCAGCAAAAGATCTGCCTTCTTCTGTTGATGAAGAGAGAAGGTGCACATCCCGTTTACAGGAGCTGCCATGCTAGCCAGAGGCGGAGCCTTTTGGGGCTGGAAGTTAATAAGGTATTTTAAAACATCATAAAAATCATTATAGCTAAACGTATGAGGAAAAAACCAATCACTGGGTCTAGATGATGCATGTGGTTATAGGTTAGGCTCATTAATCTGTGTTTGACTGGTGAAATCAACAACATAACATGGAATGGAAACCAAAATGATTATGTGCAATATGAACTATTTGCACTTATTTAATGCAAATTCATATAAAATGAATATCAGATGTCCGCAGCTGTAATTATTAGATATTAAATATGTTCCTGTCATGTTAACTTCTTTATTCTATTATAGTGATTCAAACACTCAAATCTGTCCTAATTTAACGCTCAAACTTTTATTTGAAATCCTAAATAAGAAAAGTATGACTTGTTGACCATAAAACACTGGTGAGATGTAAAAAAAAAATGTTTTTTTATTTTTTTTTATAAAGTTCTTGGATAAAAGGAGGCTATAGCCACTGCTGTGAAAATACACGCCTCCCTCTCCACATCAGATCGCCACTCCCCCTCCGGTTTACCTTTTTCTTTCTCCCAGCTTCAGCAGCGACTCCCGCTGTCATTCACCTGAACTTTTCTTTCTCATCCACATGTAGTTAGCCAAACCTTTCTGTGCCCTGCAGGTGGGATGAGCAGCTTCGTCTGAGTTCCTCTTTGTGTTGCTGAATCTTTGATGTGAACTCTGGCTTGTCTCTCCTCAGATGGACCCCATCCAGAAGGCTGTGATGACGCACACCTTCGGCCCACCTATCTTGAAGACAAAGAGGCCGATAATCTCCTGCAACGTTTGTCAAATTCGCTTCAACTCCGAGGTATAGAAGCTTTAACGAGAAACAGCTCAACATATTCACACAACTTATGAATTATCATTAAATGAGCATGACAAATGGAGTGATGCTTAAGATTTAAAATAAATAAACAGCTGGATCACTAATTCACCACCCACTGATTTAATTACTGCAAGCTTGAAATGAAATAGCTGGGATGAGAATCAGCTCCTCTAAATCTGAGACCATGGTCTTGATTCGGAAAAGGGTAGAATGCCTTCTCCGGGTCAGGGATGAGGTCCTGCCCCAAGTGGAGGAGTTTAAGTATCTTGGGGTCTTGTTCACGAGTGAGGGAAAACTGGAGTGTGAGATCGATAGGCGGATTGGTGCTGCATCTGCAGTGATGCGGGCGTTGTACCGGTGTGTTGTGGTGAAGAGAGAGCTGAAACAGAAGGCAAAGCTCTCAATTTACCGGTCGATCTACGTTCCTACCCTCACCTATGGTCATGAGCTTTGGGTAGTGACCGAAAGAACGAGATTGCGGATACAAGCGGCCGAAATGAGTTTTCTCCGCACAGTGGCTGGGCTCTCCCTTAGAGATAGGGTGAGAAGCTCTGTCATTCGGGAGGGGCTAGAAGTAGACCCGCTGCTCCTCCTCATTGAGAGGAGCCAGTTGAGGTGGCTCGGGCATCTGGTCAGGATGCCTCCTGGACGCCTCCCTGGTGAGGTTTTCCGGGCACGTCCAACCGGGAGGAGGCCTAAAGGTAGACCCAGGACACGTTAGAGGGACTATGTCTCTTACCTGGCCAGGGAACACCCTGGGATTCCCCCGGAGGAGCTGGTCCAAGTGGCTGGGGAGAGGGAAGTCTGTGCCTCTCACCTTAGGTTACTGCCCCACGACCCGACTCCGGATAAGCGGATGAAAATGGATGGATGGATGGATGGATGGATGGATGGATGGAAGCTTGAAATGTGCATTTTATTCCTAAATTTGCTGCTGGCAAAGGTGTGAATCCAGAATCTACTTCCCCATATATATATATATATATATATATATATATATATATATATATATATATATATATATATAGTATTCCTAATATTCTTTATTTAGTTATTAAAGAATGCCTAAAAATTGATTGTGACATCAAACTTGTTTTTCTAATAAATCAGAATCAGAATCGGAATCAAAAAGCTTTATTGCCAGTGCTCCAGCGACCCGAAGCATAGGAATTTGACTCTGCAGCACAGCCAGTCCAATGTTACACACACACGTAGACAAAACAGATTCAGGCAGACCACGAGAGCAGCCATGAACGGCGCTCATATCATTTAGATGAAAAGGGGATTACATGAGGATAAATTGGGGGAGGGATAAAAGGCATTCCAGAGTTACTCCCGACAGGGCGTAGCTTTGCTATGCAAAAAACCCCTCCTCAAACATATAAGCACAAACATCAACAAACGGTGCTTTCTGTGGGTGCGGGTCACCCTCCAATCGCTCCCGTCTTCCCAAATTTCCAGAAAACCAGATATCCTCCCACTCCAATGAGGAGAAATCCAGTGATCATCAGACCAAATATCCACACGTCTTTGATGTCCTCAGTGGACAGCTGGGAGAGGCATATGATCTTCCACTCCTTCCAGGAATCCAAAATATATCCCACCGGGTGTGTCCCCCGTGGACATGTGGGAGCCCCCTGCTCCGTTCACATTGTTGAAAAAATCTTATCGATCGCATTGAATGACCAGTTTATCAAATCCATGGTTGGTAAAAAAAAAAAAATTTGTTTTCAGAAGAAATGCAGAGAAGTGCTCTGTGGGCAGACAGGACAAAGAGCCTTGGGGGAAAAAAAGATAAGGGAGCGAAAGAGGGAAGCGTCTGTACTCCTCGAGTGCCAGAAGAAAAAGGGATGATATTCATTAGTATTAGGATTTGTTCAATTAAAAGAACATCAAATACGTCACATTCTGAGCAGGTAAACGGTTGTGTATGAAATCTCTTTGTGGAAAAATGAGATTCCAGCTTTGTTCCAGCTCAAGACCAAAACTCATTTGTCAAACATAGTAATGGCTGAATCATGATATGGGCTTGCTTTGAGGCATCTGCATGCTGATTCTTACGAAACAGTGATTTATGATGTTAGTTTTCTATCTTCATTTAGAGAGGACATTCGTCTTCAGCACATCAGTGGTGAACTATGCTTCCTTTTCAGGAGATTTATCAAAAATAAAAATTTATTTCAAGACTTTCATTTCTGACAGCCGTCTGTCACCGAGGGGCTGATTTTATGGAATGATGATGGTTAAAGAGGACAGTCGTGTAATTTAATAATATTTAGTTGAGTTTTTTAAATACTTCAAAATTGCACCAACTTTCTGTTTGTGTGAAATCCTAACTCAGTCTATCAATTATCTGCAGGTGAGAAATCAGTTCACTGTTTCTCACATCAACTTTACCTTTGCTGCACGGAGGCAGAAACCCCTGCTTACCTAACTTAGACTGAGATGTCTGGAAGAGGTTTTCTTTTTTTTTCTGCAGCCTGAATTTGATTCCTCCCAGGAGGTGCTGCGTGGGGAGGTTTCCGTCTGTCCATTTAGGAAATAAGTAAAGCTTCTGTAAAAATACAGAAACATTCTTTTTAGACTATTGATGAAAATATTTAGTCAGGTTTTAGTGCCTTGGAAAAATGTATCTCAGGTGTTCCTAATAAGCCAGAACATGATTGTTTAGCAGGCTCACTTACATGAGATTAGAGTGCAGAGGGTTGTGTGTGAAGCAGGAGGATAAAGCACAGCGTGTCCTCTTGGCGTTGATGTGGTTTTTGGGGATTTTGCTATGACTGGCAGTCCTTTGCAAACACAAGCCAGGCTGAAATTAAAGAGGTCTGAAGTCATGAAACTTCAGATGAATGATGTGCATCCCCATTAAAGAGACAGCAGTGTTTAGTGAAGCTCAAAAGCAAATAACTCTTAATGTTAGTATTCCGAGACCACTGGTTGACATGACTGACGGGATGTGAGGAGAGTGGGGAAGCGGAAGAATGTTTTAATACACTTAGACTGCTAAAATGTGGATTTTAAAGTGACTGCAACATCTAAACACTTTCATGCCATAAGCTTCCAACTCCTAGCTTGCTTTTCCTGCCAGGGATCTTTTGTTGTGATGGAGATACGTAACCTGGTAGGTCTTCTTATGAATGTAAATATATAATCTGGCCACTGTTCATACTCAGAGCTCGTCATGAGGAAGACTTTGTGGTTGTCTTTCAAACTGTCGCAGCGTTCAATTGGACAGCGCTACGACCAATCAGACCAATGAACAACGTGACGTATCACTGGGACAGTCCGCCGTACATCGTCAAAGAAGTAAAAGAAACAAATACATCGTTTTTCAAAACGAAGGACTTAAGTACTTCTATCAACTCATGTGAATTGTTCAAAGTTGAGGCCAAAGCCGTTGAACCCTGTTCCAGAGTCGACGCCATCTTTGTCGTTTTTCTAAGTCACAGCTCTGGTGCAAAGCCTGCTCAACAAACATAGAGCTTTATGATTGGCAAGACACAAAAATGGTCAATGGCTGGCCTGCTGAGGCTACAATGGAGCACTGCTAGACTGACCTGCAGAGCAAAATATCTTTGGTTTAGATTTCTAGTTTAATCTTATGCAATATTGCAAGAAGCGTTTAGCACCATGAGCTATTACCACATCGTATTTTGTCTAAATCTATCAAAATTGACTAAGTTATAGACATTTTTGTTTGTATGTATAATGATGTTGACTCCAAAAGTTATTAAGATCTAAATGAATGACAACTCATTTTCAAGATTTTCATTAAAATCCGTCCAATGGTTCATGAGATATTTTGCACATTCTTACAACTACATCCTTCGGCGCCTGTCAACAAGCAATAACAGAAGCTTATTCCTGTTTCTTTGCTTCAAAGACTTGTGAGGTTTTAATGTAGAACAGCTAAGCAATGCAATGAAACTGACAGGCCTTTAAGGGGTGGAAAAAGTCGGGTATTTATGACGTCCGTCTGCAACCCCTAACCTTAACATGAAAAGAAATCAAACAAAAGCCTGATATATCCAAGCCTGGCTAAAAATATTACCCCTTTCTAGTTACTAAGTGCTAAATATTTGTTGTCTAAATGCAGCAAAGGGCAGGAGTGGACATCTGAAACACGTGTGACTCTCAGCTCTGTGGAGGAGCCACTTAATCATATCTGCTCATGTTCTCACGTGATCTACAGCATACTTACTTCCTGTAGCATGCTCACATCTTCATGCTTAACACCTCTGACTTCACTTAGAGTTCATGTATAAAACAAATCCTTCTGGGGGTTTCTTTGCTCCGCTATGTGGTGAGAAGATTTTTACCCGGGCACCTGTTTGTCCACACTCTTCTCCCCGCAGTCCTTCTGCTCTGCTGCAGCTTTTTCCACGGTAACCTGAGGAGAGCGGGAGCTTAAAGCACTGCGGACATTCTTTAATAATGAAGGGAAGCTCTGCTTACAGCACAGTTCTTAGCTTACTCGTGATGTCTGGCCTTCGCTGCAGTTTGAAGGCAGGAGCACTTTAGTTTTCACCGGGACAACTTTAAATCATTAGACATTAAAGGCTGATTGGTTAATAGTGACCACTGGGAGGCTTCTCGCTGAAACCCCGTGCTGTAATTATAACAGTGCACTTCATTGCAGGCCACAGAGGACAGATTAGCCTGCCAATGTTCTGCTCAGTTCTGCTGCAAGGCTGACGTCACATTCATGCTGCATGAGCCCCCGTTCCACTCCTCCACTTCTCAGGGCTCCTCTCTCCTCACATCCTGTGTTTTCATGTTAATTTTGCCCATCAGTTTTTGTGTTTCTGCTCTTGTATCTCTCCCTCTCTCTCAGCCTTCCTTCCACCCCCTCTTTCTGTTGTTTTGGTGCTGCAGTTTTGGCTGCTCGACCAGCTCCATCTCCTCTGCTGCGCCTTTTGTCGCTTTATAGATAAAACATCAAAGGAAATCCTGCTTATGAAGAAAAGGGATTTTAGGAACAT